ACTTAAAGACTAGACCTTTAATTAACCTAGAACATCTAAAATTAACAATTAATTCAATTCAACTCCAAAAATTCTAAATAATATATTAAAATGTTCATAATTAAACCCCCAACCCAGAAAAATTAAAATCCATATGAACATACCTTTAATTTAATATTAATATAATTTTAAGGAAAATTAATAATTAATTAAAAATAATTTAAAAAACCAAAAAATTTTCCAAAACACTTGGAAGCATCTCCTTAGGTCATTTCTTACATTTGGGGGTGATTTCAAAAGGTTTGGGACTGATTTGGATCAAAATCTAAAAATCCTCCCTAATTAAACAATTTTCAAAATTCCAAAATTTCTAAAAATTTCATTAAATCATTTAAAATTCCAAACATTTCTAATTTAATCATATTGCGACTCGAGCTCACGAGTTTATGTTTTTGATGATAACAAACATCTTTATGTATAAGTATTTTTTATGTATTTATTTATTTGTATACTAACATTTCAGGAACACCATGCACCCTCCAACAATTAATCAGAGCTCAAGATTTGGTAGAATAAGATTATGTTGTAAAGAGTTTGTAGTATTTATTGATGTATTTTTGATTTCTTGAGTCAAGTCCTATAAGTATATATACTTGCTTGGTGACCATACACACACACACACTCAGGGGAAGTGAGATTCAGTCTAAACCAGAAGTTCAAGTTTTGAACTAATCGTACTGAATGATTTATATCGTCTAGGATGATCAGCTCATTGAACTAATCGTACTAGATGATTTCGATCGTCCAAGATGATTTATTATGATCTTGGAAAATAGCCGCCAATGATAATTTAGGTGATGATTTAAGATTAAAATTTTCTTCTAATCATCCCGGATGATCCAGATCGTCATGGATGATCAATATAAATCATGCATAAATTGATCATGTGATTAAGGGATTAATTATGGTTAATTTTTATAATCACATCGTCTTGTATGATCTATATATCGTAACGGATGATGTTTGCCAATATATTTAATTTTTCTTAATTGTCCAAGATGAAATACCATAATTTCTCTTATAATCATCCAGGATAATCCACAATATCATCCTGGTTGATCTGTACAAAATTGAATTGGTCGTCCAGGACTATCCTGATATCATCCAGGACTATCAGGTCAATTTTTGCACATCATACTGGATGATCCTAAGATCATCCAGGATGATATTTAGCTATGAAATTGAGTTTTTAGGATTTTTTGAAGCCTTCTTTTTAAGCACATTGTACGGAAAGATCATGTGATCGTCCTAGATGATCTTGCAATCGTCCTAGATAATCTTTGCCACCATAATTAATTGTTAGGGTTTTTCAAAGCCCTCTATTTAAGCTTTGTCAAGATAATTAGTAAGTGCTTTTAGTAGCCATTGAAGCTTCATTCTTTTGGAGAAAACTTAAAAAGAGAACTTAAAAGGGAGATAGTAAAGGGTAGAGTTTGAGAGAGGGAGAAGATCCTTAGAGGGGGTTTCAAGGGAGTGTGGAGGGAGTTTCACACGGTTGCTTCGGCAAGCTTGCATCTTAGTATCATCGAATTCAAGATTCTTCTTGATGAGAAGAAGAAGATATCTTTGGTGTCAAAAGACCCGGCTAATTCGCCGTAGCGGAGAAGGTGAAAGTGATTTTGTAAGGGCTTCTTCGCCTAGCTGTGGGGCCTAAAGGAGAGTCACTAAAGGTTTAGTACAATACTCAAAGGGTGCCTCTGAGGAGTGGATGTAGATCAAGTTAGACAGAATTACTATAAATTTGGCGTGTTCTTTCCTTTATTATTTATGCACTTTATTTCTATATTTATGTTTGTTATGGTTAACCACGTGTGTGAAATCTCTAATTAATATTTTTATTATTGATTTAAGTTGTTTCTGCTATAAGATATAAAAAGAATTTTCTTTTAGTTAAAGAGGTTTTAAATATCCAATTCACCCACCCCCTCTTGGTTAGCATTAGGATTTAGTTTATAAGGGCTTAACACCCATAACAAACTTTCAAATCATTTATACTAGTAATTAATTAGTTAATTAAAATTAGTCAACTCTTAATCCCCAACTAATTAAATTAACTTAATCAACGTCAATTACTACTAAGTAATAAGGGCCTATAAGACTAATAGCTTACCCTCAAGAAAGATGAAATAAACTTCACAGACCTAGTAAGTAACAAAGATAATAACCATTTAACAACTAAAATATACCTAAAATAAGTTTTAACACTTCATTATTTGAACTCAAACATAAATTTCTCCTTCGAACTATAACAAAATCCAAACACAAGATAACTTCAATAAATTGCTCAGTTTAGGACATACCCAAGCCACACAGCTTACCTTATACACTTTAGATGGTTTGTTAGGATAACCAACTCTAGTTTAGGCTAGATCAATGTTTACTTGTTACTGTTGCGTGTTAGTTTTTTTTTCAAGTTTTCATTGTATGTGTTTTATTGAAAATTATTTGATGTGAGTGTTTATTTACTTTAAATGTAATATGTGATTTGATGTGATGGGTGGTAGATTACCCTTAGGTTAGGAAAGATCTGTTTGCTCACTAAGTTTGCTGCAGGTGGTCATGCTCGTGTAGGGCTAAAATCAAGGGGGCAAAGTGCAGTCCTTCCTCGAGGGAAGGCGTTAGTTCAGTGTAATAAACATATATTATATAAAACACAATATATAGCTGAAGTTGGAAGAATCCAGTGATAGGGATTTTTTCTCAATAGATTTTTTCTAAGGGGAAGGCGTTGGTGTCAAATGTTGGCCATTAAAAGAGAAGCATAATACTAAGTTAAGTGTTGTAGAGATGAGGATGCTCAAGTGGATGAGTAGCTTTACTCTTAGAGATATGATGCAAAACGCGTATATTCATGAAAAGGTTGGTGTAGTTCTAGTGGAAGATAAGATTAGAGAGAGTCGCCTTAGATGGTTTAGTCACATAAAGTGGCAGCCTACCGATGACCCGATTAGAAAAGTAGAGGTATTAAAATTGACTTATGTTAAGAAAGGTAGAGGTTGACCTAAAAAGACTTGGTTAGAGAAAATTGGAAATGATATATCCTTATTAGATTTAAATGAGAATTTGACTTTTAACAGGACACAATGGAGAAAATGATTCATGTTGTCGACCCCACATAATTGGAAAAATGATTGATATTGTTGTTATTTTTGTAGAGTGTTGGCCTGCTCGTTTGGTTTGAAGGACCGTAATCATGTAATGGTGGTCAGATGGACCATTATCTGACAACGGTGGTCAAAGGGATGATAGTCGTAAAGTGATAGTGGTTGGAAGGAACATAGTTGGAGGGACCGTAGTTAGTGGGGGCAATAGGAGGTTAAAGGGACCAAAGTTGGCGGGTAACAATAGTCAAAGTGGATGGTAGTTGACGGGCTATGGTGGTTGGCGTGATCGTACTAGACGGGCGATGGAGGTCGGATGGATTATAGTTAGGTAACAGTGGTAGAAGGTACCATCGTCGATGAGCCACAATGGTTAGAGAGACAATAGTCGATGGTCAACGGAGGTCGGAGGGATCGTAGTTAGTGGGCAATGAAGGTTAGAGGGACTGTAATCGGTCGGTGATAGTGGTTGCAAAGACTATAGTCGGTGGATATTGGTAGTCGGAGTGGACCGTAGTTGGCAGATAATGGTGGTTGAAGAGACCGTATTGATAGATAATGGTGGTCAAAGTGTACTGTAGTTGGGCGACGATGATGGTCGGAGGGACCGTAATTTGCTGATGATGAAGGACGAATGTACTGTAGTCGACAGGCCATAGTGGCCAAAGTGGTGCGTTGGTGGCAACTGAGCAGAGGTCCAATGGTGGTCTTTGGTCAGGTGGAGGTCTAGTGGTGATTGGCGGGCAAGTGGTGGTCCAACAATATGTCAGTTCCCAGGCTTTGGTTTGATGATGGCTGAGCGGTGGTCGTTTGCTAGATGCTGGTCAATGACTGAGCCCAAATTAACCGATAGAAGTTCACCAATTGTCGTGCTTGGGTGGAGCTCTAGGATTCTCGAAGCCTCAGAGTTCTTTGCAATCTCCAACTGAACCCCCCTACATGAAGAGAGCATGAGCTTATTTATAGATTTTTTAGAGTGACATGCCTCTTAAATATGGAGAAGATCTAGGCCAAATTCGGAGTGCTCCATCGAATGACCCATATTGATCTCCTCGATCATAGAGCGTTTGTCAAACTTTTATGTGTCGAGAGTATGTTAAAATTGAGAGATCTTGGACTCATTGGATTCATCTCGTCGAGCCGCTCGATTCCACTATAAGCATATTTGGTTAACATTTGATCATCCAATTAATGCTTTGAACCTTCCAAGTATGCTTTAATCTCTTGATTGAGCCAATTTGAGCTTGGTTCAGACTGATTCTGGTGTCGTTAGGTAGACCTATCAATTCCGGGTTACGGGTCGGGTTGACCCAAACCCAAAACTGACCCGATATTATTCGGGTTTGGGTTGACCCGACCCGGTTACGACCCGTTTTTGCAAACGGGTCGGTTTTCCAGACCCGAACCCGACCCGCTTCGGGTTCGGGTCAACCCAAACCCGAAAATTCCGGGTCGGGTTTTCGGGTTGGGTCCAATATTGACAGGTCTATCGTTAGGTTCATCTTCTTTAAGTGTTTGATTTGAGTATAAGTTTGCTAAAATTGGAGATTGGATGGTCCCAATTTTAATTTTGAAAATTTCCAGCTTGAATATACCTTGAGACATCACTAAATATAATTTAAAAGAGATCTTTAATTTATTATCACAATGTGATGTATACTTATAGTATTTTATTTATTTATATGAGTGCTTATATTTATTTTTGGATTTCACTTTTTTGGATTTCACTTTTCCGCAAAACATATTTACCACATAATATTCTGAAAAAATCAAAGGCATATTCCTTGCTCCTCAGCTGGAAGGAACTCGCGAGTCGAGCGGCCCGCTGGCCCCGCTCAGGCGTCACATCCGGCTCCGCTCACTCTTCGTTGTAAGTTCATGTTCGCTGCTTCTCGGTGGCCAATGTTCACTAATGCTCACCTTTGGTGACTTTACGCTCGCGTGTGCATCGCCTCATCGTTTGTGTCTGTTCCGTTCCAAACAATTCTCAGACAACTCTGAGAAGTAGACTAATAAGCTTGGAGAGCCAAGTAGCAGAGTGGACGGAGATCAATGGATGTTTGGGCTCTGAACCCTAAGGCAGGAGGTCTAGCATGGAGGGCCTGCAAGGAGCAAGAGAGGGGCTTAATGGTGACGAGGCCGAGATCGCAATGGAAATATTTTGGGATAGAGGAGGGTAATGCTCGATTCCGAGCGGTTTGGGAAGTTAGGGTTTTGGGGAGGATATGTTATAGGTCTTTAATGGTTAGGGCGACCGGTCAGGGGAAGAACCCAGAAAATCCATCTTCTTCCGGTGAGTGTTTTTCTTTTCTTTCGTTTTTTTTGTCCGTGCATTTCCTGGGTTTTCTTGTTTTTATTCTTCGAAAAGAGTTTGAATTTATCAAATAGTGTAAACAGAGATTATCTTTCTCTACTCTTCTCGATCTCTTGTTCCTACCTTCCTTGATCTATTGGCCTAAGCTTTAAGGCAGGCTTGGAAGCATGAAGAAAAGTTTTTTTTTCTTCAAAAAATTTTTTTTTTTTAGGTTAATTACGTGCTTTAGGTCGTTAAATTTAATATTTCTATTATTTAATGCGTGGTTGTGTTTAGAATTGTGCTGTCTGGGTCAGGGCAAATTATTGGGTCAGGTGACCGAAGCCATCTCTCCGTTCGGTCGCCAATAAAAATGCGCCATCTGTTAGGATTTTTTTTAATTTAATATTAACGCTTTATGTCTTTTCAGAGTTAGCGACCCGACCCGATAACGCTATTCTATTGGCGAAGAAAGAATGGAAACGCCGCGCATTTTATTTTCGAGCGACATTTTCACTGTTACTCGAGCTCTCGGATTCCTCCATTACCTTCGGTTCTGCTTGCTGATGTTTTCGTTTTGAAGTCGTCCACACTCGTCAAGCAATTAAATTTCAGTTGAAGACATACAATCTAGCAGCATAAAAAAAAGTTTGTGTTGGTGGAAAATATTGGATGTGAAACTCGTTTCTTTTGTTCTCATGCAAATTGATTTGTAGCAATCTTTATCTGTGTTTGTTAGTTTACCTCATGGTCTTACTAGTGTTTTTTAAAGCGCAATTCCATGTGCAATTATTCCTTTTGGCTTTAATGCTCAAAACAATGTGACACTTTTTCCAGCTAAAGCATTGTTGATGTGTATATTATATTTGCATATGTTATGCATTTGCAATAATTATTCAATTAATCAAACTTAAATCACATTAGTTGAAAAAGGAAAAGAATTTAAGATATAAAAATAAAGTGATGATACTTAAAAATATAGAATACTTGTTAGATTAAAAGCCCAATTGGAGAATGGAGGCTAAGGAAGCATGAAGAGAGAGTGTGTGAAGATTAGCACTACTGAAGACGTAGAGTATACACTGAGAAGTATTCTTGAGAGGAGCTTTGTGAATGAGAAGCTACTAAAGCCATCAATAAAAACTAGCTAGAAGCATATAATAAAACTAGTGAGCAATAGACATGAAGAGGAGCCCCCCAAGAAGAGACTACCTATAGTGGGAGAGAATGGAGAACAACCAACAATTAATGATTCCATGACTATGCCAATGAGGAGGATTGAATGCTCATGCTTATTGTGGTAGACATTCTTTGCCGTGAGCTTGCACTTTGTAGGTAAGCGATACACAAAACAATGCATTGCTGCTTCACTCATGCATTTTTTTTATAACATTGGATTGAACCTATTGGGATGCTATCCAATAATTTTCATGTTGTTTGTGCTCTTATAAGAATTAATTAGGTTATTAAACTTTTCATTGATGGTTGAATTAGTAAAACTTGGTTAGAAGTTTAGATTCGTGGCACAATCAATCAGGTGTGATCCAAGGTTGGATTTACAGAAGAATTTTAGAACCAATAGGTAATTTTCTAGGTATAGGTATTAGGTTTACTATGGAATAATTGAAGGAGTAGGCTTTATTTATTGTATTTTCCACAATAATAGCACGCATGCTTACTGTCTTTCCTCCTAAATTTCTAAAAAATAACAATTCATGTGTCTTTTTTAGGTTTCTTTTGTAGGGGAAAATAGTAGGTAGTGGTTGATGCTATTTGTTGGTGGATCTCTAATGATGATGGAATTGATTGAGTGATAAGGCATGAAGGAGGTGGTCCATCCACTGATTGGTTGTTGTAAAACCCTTGAACTCTTAAAGAAGGGTTGATGACAGTGAGGGGAAGAGAAATAGAAAGAGCAAAGAAGATTTAGGGGATGATTCTAATTTCTTTTATTCTAACTTGAAACTCTTACATCTTGTAGGCCACTATTTATAGAAAAATGAATCCAATATATTCATAATACAAAGGTTTAGGAATCATTACCCTAAATTTACGGCATTTAAAAATATGACTATTGATTACCAATCACTAAAAAAAACTAATTACTAGTTCTCCCATAAAAAACTGTCAATTGTCAGCCCTTGAATTATGGAGAAATAGGTGGAGTGAGTTTAGTTAAGTTTTCTTGATTCTCTCTCTCCTCTCTTGCCTTCAGTTTCTCATTTGACTTTTAATTGCAAAATTGCAATTAAGTTCTTACTAAATTTATTTTCAAGTCAATCCTTTAAAAGTCAATTATATTTTTGTGAGGCTCGTGATTAGTGTTTGAAGTCTGCATTATGTGTTGCATTTTGTGCTCTTATATGATAGAAAGAAATTGAATTTATGGGTGAATTTGATCGGAAGAAATTCCTATATCGAACGAGCAGCCAGCCTTATGATGCCAAATCGATAGTTGAACTCACTCGTAGCTATATCAAGCTCATCATATAGCCGACCCCATGGACTTTATTCTCCTCGCAAGTGTAGGTCGTTTCCTAATGCTATAACTTGAGCAAAATGGTGAGGCCTTCCTGGACCATTTTAGCACTTTGAATGCATCATGACAACATTTTGGCAAAATGTGTGACACGTGCATTTTGAACCAATCATTTATGAAGTTATGTTTGTTTGACCATGTTTTCATTGCATTCACTTTACTGTACTTTTGTATATGTTAATTTAAGAGATATGAGAGGGAAAAGGCTTAAAACTTTATTCAACATAATCCCTATTTATAGACTATACAATATGCTTGAAGATCAAAAACCCTTTGACGCCATCTAGTTACTGTCCTATTAGTCTTTGCAATTTCATTTATAAAATTGTGGCTAGGATTTTGTTGAATAGGATGAATTGTTTGCTTCCTAAGATCATTTTTGAAGTTCAATACGCTTTTGTAAAAGGCCGGTCTATGTCTGATCTGATTGAGATTTTCAATAAATTGAGATATTCTAAGTCAAAGAAGGGGTTGTGGCAATCAAAATTGATATGGAACAAGCTTATGATAGCACGGGTTGGGCTACTCATAATCTTGTGCTTTACAAAGTCAGATTTCCTAGAAAGTTCTCAAATCTTATTATGGAAGGTGTAGTAAGCCCAAAGTTCTCTATTATGGTCAATGGGGTTAATTCAGGATGGATTGAGGCAAAAAGTGGATTTAGGCAAGGGTTTTCGCTATCACCTTATGTTTTTATTATGTGCTCACAATTGTTATCATATTTGTTTGCTCAAAGAGGAAGGAGTGTTGGTATTAAGGTGGCTCTGAGTGCCCCATTGATTTCTCATTTGATGTACGTCGATGACATTGTTATTTTTTCTGAAACTAAGTATAAGAGTATGAAGAAAGTGAAAAAAATTCTCAATGATTATTGAAATGGACTGGACAAAAGATTAATCTGCTTAAATCTTCTATCATGTTTGGGGGGTCTGTTAAGAGAAGAATGTCTAGGAAGTTATTGAAGAAGTTCGGTTTCAAAATGGTAAGTGAAATGGAGTATTTGGGGGTTAAGATTGTGTTGAGAAGGCAAGTGTATTCATATTTTCAAAATCTGATTGAAAAAACTTCAAATAGATTGAACATTTGGGGGAATAAGTTCATCTCTTTAGCCGAGAAATTAACTCTTCTTAAATCTGCTTTTCTTTCTCTTCTTTTATTTTTGTCAACTCATTCATTAGTCTCTATGAGGGTTTTGAATGTTATGATAAAATGTGCCGGAGTTATTTATGGCATAAGAATGATGGTAAGTTTGGCATTCATTATGTTGCTTGGGACATTTTGTGTAAGCCTAAGATGAAAGATGGTTGGGGATTGCAGTCGGTTGTGGAGAAAATAGGCCCTTTGAGAGCAAAGTTTGCTTGGAACTTCATTTCCAATCCGAATTCACTACTCAATAGAACCTTGATTGCTAAGTATGGGGAAGAGTTGTGGAATGCTGATAGGAGGAGCTGTTCGTCTTCTACTTAGAAGATTATTTTGCATGGAGCAAAGTTTCTTCTTCCCATTGTTAAATGGAAAATAGCTACATGTGTGAAGATCAATACAATCAAAGATACGTGGATATTGGATAGATGTATAGGAAATGGCCTACTTTTGTAGCAAATTTACCTCAAGAAGCAGAGAATCTGTCGGTTTTTATTACCAATGGAGAATGGAATGTAGATAATCTGAAGCAGGTTTTTGGCATTCAGTTGGTGGAGATTATTCTTAAGATATGTTAATTTGAGAGGTACGAGAGGGAAAAGCATACTTTATTCATTACTATCTTCCCTATTTATAGATCTATACAAGATATCTAAATGAGGAAATAATAGATTACAATTTAATACATAAAATTTCCAATAAAATCTTTCCTAAATTTGTTCCTCCATTATGGCGTGATCCATGAGAGCATCCCACGGATTGATCTTTGTGTCCGTCGGATCCCTTGCACTGGGAACGGCTGGATTTCAACACTCCCCCTCAAGTTAGAAAATATGGATCTATCATTCCCAGCTTGTCAATCATTCTAAGAAAGACATAATTGTCCAATCTTTTGATAAGAATATCTGCAAGTTGATCTTTCGATGATACATGGTCGACACTTACTAAAACACTGTCTAGTTTTTCTTTAATGAAATGTATGTCCACTTCTATGTACTTGGTCCTGTCATGCTGGACTGGATTGTGGGCTATGCTGATTGTTGATTTGTTGTCATAATGTAGCTTCATGGGCTCATCCCACTTAACCTTTAAGTCTTATAGGATTATTTTAATTTATAGTAGCTCACATATTCCCAAGGCCATAGCTTGATATTCTGCTTCTGCACTGAATCTTGCCACCACATTTTGTTTCTTGCTTCTCCATGTAACTAAGTTACCTTCCATAAATGTGCAATATCCAGAGGTAAATTTTCTATCAATCGGTGATCCTGCATAGTCGACATCCGTGTCGCGGTCTCTCTTAAAGAGAACCCCTTTT